GGTGATGGCCATATGTCAGAAGCGCGCGCAGGAGGGCGGAAAGGCCGGTTTCGGAGGGGGGGAGGCAGGGGATAGAGGAGGCAGCCCGGCGGTGGCCAGCGAGGAAGGACGACATGCGGAGGCTTTCGGCAAACCTTCCAGGAAATCCTCAAAATACATGGTGCTGCGTTTGTGGAGTGCGACGAGGGCGACGACAAAGAAGCGCGATGTGGCGGGAGTGCTCGGGGCCCGGCAACAGCTGGATTCTCTGGGGGGGTCTTTTTGTCGCAGCGCACCGGCCCCTGGGGGCTCTGTTCGCTCCTCTGTCCCCCCGCCTCCCAGTTGGGATCATGGCAAAGGCGGCGCCGGGTGTTGTCTCCTCGTCGCGCGGCTTTCTCCTCCAGAGGAGAAAAGGCCCGTCCTGCCCTTCCCGGACGTGCTGGGGAGGTCGGCCATGCTCAACTGTCTCTCCCTGTCCCGGCCAGCCCTCCCCCCGGGGGGGGGGGGGGGGGGAAGGATGTTGTCGAACACCATCCCGATGTATTCTGATACATCAGCATCACAACGTGATATACCCCAACCCGCGTGCTCATCATGTGCCCCGGCGTCCAAATCGCCCACAATGCATGCCCTCGTCGCAGCTGTCTGTGCCCCGGGCGGCTGGGCTTCCTCGGAGAGGGGGCGGGCGGGGGGACGGCGGAGATCGATGGGGCCGCCTTTTCTTTTTTTTCTTTTTTGGCCCGTCGTGCGCCGATCGCTCTCCTCCCTGCGGGAGCCGGCCAAGTCCCGGCCCCTCCTTGGGCGCCGGCATCCTCGTGAGGCAATGAGTGTCCCCCCCCCCCCCCCCCCCCCCCCCAAGTACAGAGCCCCCGCGGCCCGGCGAGACCCATGGCCCGGTGTGTGGTCCCCTTCTTAGGTGTGTGCCGGTCCGCGGGACCGGCCCCCCGAGGCGGCCCCTGCGGGCCCTTGCGCGGGACAGAGTGTTTTTAGGCCGATGTTTTTCTTGACGCGCACGAGTGAGGAGGAATGCATTTGGGCGGCCCGGTCGAGCAACGGGCTCGGAGTTAATGGGCCCCAAGCGGCTGGGGCCGGGGCACACCGCAATCGCCGGGGGTGCGGAATGCGCGGCCCCCTCGAAAGCCGGGGCCGGGGCCGGGGCTGATGTCACCGCACACTGGGCCGAGGGTGATCAACCCCCAGAGCCGGCGGCCGACTGGCCAGGCCCCACGTCGGCCGGGATCTGCGCATGGGCAAAAGGGCGCAAAAACCGCCCCCTGCGCCGGGGTCCGCGTGCGGGGCCGGCAGCTGGTGTAAAAGGGCCCCGGCAGAGGTGGCCGGAGTCCGATGTGGGCCGGGGTGGCCACCTCCTCCCAGGGGCAACTCCGCGCCCTTGGGCAGCAGCCCGGCTCTTGCTCAGGCGTCTCGCCCGTTATGCATGGCCTTCGAGTGGAGTCCCCCTGCCGCCTGACAAGTGGACGATGTACATCAGGTTGCACATAGCCAGCCGAGTGGCGCTGTGGGGCCTGGCGGCGCCGCGTCGGGGCCGATGGTCTCGTCGTAGCCGTGTCAATGCCCAGAGTGATGGCGCGGACCGCGGGAAGTGTGCTGCCGGCGTGCGGCATGGCACCAGGAGGGGAGTTGTGCCGAGGAAAGATTGGATGTGAGGAGCGCGCGAGGCCGCACGCCTCCCATCACTCGGGGCATTAGCGCCAGCCGGCTGACCGGTGTGTGGGGGACCCTGGCGAGCAGGGTTGAGCCCGGCGTGGTGTGTGCCGTGTGTGCGTGTGTGTGTGTGTGTGTGTGTGTGTGAGGTGAGGTGAGCGGGTGGGCGGCCGGGCGGGCGGCCAGGTGGGGGATAAAGCCCGCCGGGCTGCCTTTCCCGTACCTGTGGCGGTTGCACTTCGCCCCTTGATTTGTGGGCGTCCCCCATGGCAGGGCGTGGGCCCCGGCGCCGACGCACTCAAACATGACGCGGTCCGGAGAAGTGGCGACAGGCACGCGACAAGCTCAAGGGGATTTTCAGTTGCGGGTGCTCGTGGTCCACGCAATTTCCACCCTTCACCGCCCCCCCCCCTCCCCCCCCCCCTTCCCCGTGGCCGGTCCTGTCTCTCACCTGCCCGGCGCCCCCGCGGCCGCTGCCCGCACTGTCTCCCCTTTCGCCCCCTTGGCCGGCTTGAGCATGGGAGCTCTCCTCCAGCCGTCCCCTCATGTCACCGGGCCCCTGTGCCGCCGTGCCGCCATGCCCCCTTGCCCCCTCGTGTTGGTGCCCGACCTACGCCCATTTGGTAAGATACAGCGGCAGACCGCTCAAGACCCCCTGTTTCAGCGTGCCCTTTGCTGCTGTTGCTGCTGCCGCTGCCGCTTGAGCCCCTCCGGCAGTGAGGTCTTCTATTTGATGCTGCGTGCGAGGGCGCGAGGGGGAAAAGCGGGCTGGGCACAATCCAAGAGGGCACCAGCCTTGAGGCTTGTCCGCGGAACGGAGGCCCATTGCCTCGTGTGCTTCTCCGAGAGTGCACCTGTCCGCGGGCCGGCCTTGCGTGACTTGGAGAGCTCCCCACTGGGGTGGGGCTCCCCTCTGGCGTGCTGCCATACTCCCTCGATTCGGTCCCCCACTCCCTTCCCCCCCCCCCCCCCCCGCCCCGCCCCCTGCACTCGTGCCGAGGCGCCCCCTCTGGAGAGAAATCAAAAATAGTTGTCCAGGAGGCTCAGGGGGGCGCGGGGCGAGCGCGGCTGCCCCTCGGACGCGGGCTTCCCCCTCCTGCCCCCTCCCGGCCGGCATGCCCCGTTCCCGAACCCCCTTCCCCCCTCGCGACGCCGAAAGGATTGCCGGCGAAAGGAGGACAGCTGCATCCGGCGAAATGGTCCACAGGATCCTCTCTCCCTCGGTCGCCCTCGCTGCCTTGTCCTTACCCAAAGGCACAAGAGGCAAGGGACACCGCAGTCTGCGGGTGAGATATGCTCATCCCTTTTCTGCCCCCAGTATCGGCCCACCTGGTGAAGTCCACCAGGGAATATTTCTACCCTGCCTGGTGCCTGCGTCGAGGGAGCTGCTCGGGCGATAGCCCCGGATCCGGCCTGCTGGGATCAGGACAGCAGGCAGCCTCTGTCTGTCTGTCTGCCCGCCCGTCCGCCCGCCATATGATTGCCCTCCAGCTTGCTCGCGCCTCGCTTTGTCTCTCGGGCCTCAGCGCCCCTCCCAGTTGCCCCGCGGGGGCACGGCGAGGAGGCAGCACAAAGGCCCGGGAAATATGATCTGAGAGCAGGCCGGCAGGAGGGGAGGGCGGGCGAGGGGGCGGGGAGCCTGTGCTCAGGCGCCGATGCGAAGCGATGCCACCCGGTGTCCTCAAAATGGCAACTTTTCCTTGACACGGGAGACGTCAATGACTGGGGGGCGGGGGGGGGGGGGGG